AGAACAAATGATAGATAATGGTATTTCACTAGATTTATTGCAGAAAACATTTGAAGTATTTGGCAGAAAGATGACTGCAACAATTAAAAAGGAAATGGAAGAAGGATTTGCAGGGATGAAAAAAGATCTGAAACAAGAAGTTAAGAAAAATGAATCTGTAGGGCAACTGGCTGCAGACATAAGACAAATTACTGCCAACTGGAAAATAGTAGTACCTATGTAGGGTACCTTAAGCAATTAAAAGTGTCCAAATGTAGAAGGACCTTTACTCTTGCATGGTACAATGCCCTCTCTTCAGCTGTTTTGGAGCGAAGATCCCGTACCTGGAATATTTATGCCTCTGCAAACTGGAGAATTTAAGTCTACTGAACATATTCTTCATCAGATTTCTCTTTCTTGATATACAGACATACACGCACACATATACATTATATATCTGAAATGCTCTTATCTCGCTCTACTCAAAAAAGGTTTCCAGGTTGCAGAGTTCAAGCCTATGTCTGCTTATTACTCTCAGACTATAATCCTTTTGTAATATATTAAGTTAACATGTTTTGTGCTGCAGTATGTAAGATCTACCAGGAACTGTCAATAACAGCCAACAAGATGGGAGATAAATAGATCAGAGGAATACAATATCCATACTTACACTTTCATATTTCTGTGCCGCTAAATCATCTAGATTTTAATTTCTATTGCTGATTTGCCCACCCCTACTTCCATCACTACTGGAGGAAAGCCTATGCTAACCAAGACAATTGGTTAAACCATGGTTACTATAGTTGCCTCTTACAACCCCACTAACTGCTGATCGAGTTGCCAATTCAGTGCTACTGGATCCTATAGGCAGATACTTAATATGGTTTCACCTTTGCACATATGTGTATATGATTTTAAGATATTTTATGCCTTTCTGGATCTATCCCTTACCTAGCCATGACCCACAGAGTGTCAGTCACCAGGAAACAATAAAGCCAAACCTATCAACATTTCTTCTATACAATTATTAAAGCTAACGGAGCTGTGTTCTTCTTGACTATACTTCTATCTCCTGTCTCTTTTATTTTCTTTGAAGAAAAGAAGCATGATGAATATAAAGGAATAGTGGTGGTGCTACAAGTGTGACTCATTTATAGGTTTCATAGTATCAGCAGAAGTCTAGTACCATAAATTAGCTCTGCATAGGATTTATAACAGGCATTCCCCTTTCTAACAAAAGATAGGCTCTGTAATGTCCTAAAGATCTATAAAATTGTTATGGCAAAAAGGGCTTGTTGTCTAGAGTTTACTTCATCAGATGTCAGAACTCTTCCTTGCTTTTGCTTCTAGAAACAGCTTGTGATCTTTACTTTCCCCAAGAATAACATATACATTTCCAACTACTAAAATATAGGTGAATTTTAATGCACCTGTCAGCAATTTTCTGTCAAGCTATTGTAGGACATTGTGTAGAGCCAAGCTGCACCACTTGTAACCTATGGTCTACACCTCAAAATAAAAGACGAAGAAACATGGCTACAATGGACTGGCCAATGGACATTCTCACGGTGCTTGCTCACAGTGGCATGGTCGAGGTCTTGCCCCATCTCTGGGGATGATGCGATTACATCTCTCTCTGCAATCCACTGCTCCAGATCATCGACTTCTCGCTTCAGTTTGAACAGGTGATATGCAAGTTCTACTTTACGTCTGTGTTCCTCAGCCAGGTCTTTCAACCCTGCATACTGCTTATCTACTTGCCCCTGCAATCGGATTATATCTTCTCTGAAAAATCACAAAGAGAAAGTTTTGGAGACAAGTCACCTGTTAAAGAAAGGCAGCACAACCCAATAATATGCAATGGCTTGGGATTCTCCTGACTACTATATCCCAAAGGTTTTAGAGCTACTTTTATCAAATGTACTCACCCTTCTGGGTGGCCAGCAGATAGTAATTTCTGAGCCCGACTGGCCAGCTGCTTGATATTTTTTCCATATTCTTCTATGGATCTCTGCTGACGAAGGTGTCTCTTCAGCATTACAATGCCACTTTCTTCATCCTGAGATAGTAAGTAATTGAATCTATATCTTCAGAGTGAAGAAATTTCTGGGCCCATTCCAAGTAGCAACAAGGCCAAGGAAGATTAACCCCCTTTCTGCATGGGCCCCATCAATAGTCTTAGGTTACATAGGCTTAAACAGTTTTATAGCTGATCTTCCTTTTCTCATTGACAAGAACTCCCAGCTCCTCCCCTACTTCTTGCACCCAAGGCTCTCTGACGTTTTTACACCCTCTCACTGGCCAGGTGGAAAGAATGCTGCCCAGTTCCATGGGGCAATGGGACACAGCACTGCAGGAACCAACATGACAGTACATAATTGCTGCTGAGGATGTAAGAGATGAAGCCAGGAGGTGTGTGGAAAGTGCCCAAAGGATACATAATTTATAAATCTACCTGGGAGTAAGCTTCAGTGGACCTACTTCTGAATCAGGTTTAGTAGTACAAGATAATTCATGAAAATTCTACCCCTTCTTCCCAAAAATTGTATGCATTCCTGATGCCACTTAAGTAAGTAGTTCTTATCACAAACAAAGGATAGGTTATGCACAGCAAAATGGAATCAGTGCTGTTGAAAACATTCTATCACCTCCATTCTGAAGGAAGATGGGACATTTCCTGTTACCACTAGGTTATGGTGCTCTATCTTCTTTTGCATGGGAAGTTAAGCCACAGATCCATGGACTCTGGATACCAGCACACTGGTATTCAAATATATTTTTCAATACAGTGAGTATGAGAGAGAGGAGAAGAGAGAAACAAATGTTCTTTCTCTTCCACACATAGCTCTTATTAAAACTGCTGCCCAGGATTTGAAGCAGCTTGTTATAAACTATCATATAATATTGACACATGCATAGATGCACTCCAAAGGACACATGATATCATACTGGATTCCAGTCATGGTTTTTTTGCCAGTAGTGACATAAAAGAAGAGAGAAACAATAACTAATTAAACTGCTCTTCATCCTTGTTCCCCTGGAGCTTTTCCCGAGATAAAAAAAGAGTTGCAAGAGAATAAGATATGCAGCTCTTAACTGTTCCCAGGGATGAACAGGTCTACTTCTCAACCAGCAAGCTAGCTTGTCCATTTTCCTAGAAAGCCAACACACCTTGGGAATAGTCTTCCACCTGGCAAGTACTACTTCATTAGCATGGGAGGTGCTCTTACCTTTGGCTTCTCATCTGTTCCTATATAAAGCTCTTGTTCACTTATCCAGGCCTCTGCTTCTCCAGCATCTAAATAGTATCGCTGAGCCTCACTGGCTTCTTCTAGGCGCTGCAACCTCTTCAAGGTTTCTTCCTGTAAGGTGCTCCAGGAAACCCTCAACAGCTTGAGACATTCTTCAGTGTCTCTGAAGTCCCCATTTCCATCAGCTCTAGCCAACATGCTCTCTCCTCTAGCAAGGACTTCCTCGATGCGTGGGGCATGACCAGTAATTTCTTTCTGCAGGGTCTAAGCAAACAGTAGAGAATTTTTAAAGAGCTGAATGAGTAAGATCAGAAATGAGTTGAATAAAGTTGTCCCTTTTATTAAGCTGTATTATGGTACTATGGAAAATGAAAAAAGATGGCAAGATTCCAGGCCTTAGAGGTTGTGTGCCTCAGATCTGACATGTTTGCAGCTGCTACTGGATGCTGTCAGCTTAAGGGAAAAACACTAGTTTAACCCTAGTACATATAAGAACAATTTAAGACTGCCTCATGCATGGACTGAAGATGAGATGAAGATAAACATGGCACATGGCAAAGTAAAGATGCTAGGAGAAGTTTAGATCACAGTTAGTTGTATATGGAGAAAGGCCTTTAGACAAAAGCTTTGCTTCCATGTTTGTTAGCAATTACCATACAGACAAAAGTATGTTTTTGAATGTTCACAGCTGTAACAAAAGTTCAGTTGCTCTGTTAAAAAGGTGGAATTAAGTGAGGAAAAATATGCAGAGATGATGGGGAGACTCACCTGGTTTTTCTTTATAAGTAGCTGGACTGACAAAAGATTTGTGCCATGGTCAGTGGACTGAGCAAGAGGGAGTCGTTCTTGCACCCAAAGCTGCATTACAGAAGAAAGACTAAGGTAACATGTCAAAATGTCAAACATGTATACAAAAGAGGATGAAAGACAAATTCTTATACAATTTTCCTAACATCTGAAACAACCTATCCATGTGCCTCATCTTCTGATATCTTCCCTCTAAATTACACAAAGAAGAACAGTAACTAAGGGAGAGTTGTGAGTTTCTAATGGCATATTAGCCATCACTCACCAATTCATCTGCCAAATCCCGGTCCAATTGATATCCAGTCTTGGCCATCTCCAGCTCTTTCCTCTTCCTACCCAATGGCTCTAGAAGGTCCTGAAATCGCCTTTCAATGATCTTATGCTTGCTGTCCACTTCATCCATGTCTCTCTTGACTGGAGGGGCCTGAGAAAGCAAGCCTTCCATCTCTTTCTTCCGCAAGCTGACTTGCTCATCCAGATGCTGAAATGAGAGATCTTCACATTTTGTTGTCTCTTTGAGATGTATATTCTTAACTCCATCCCTTAGGCTTTACATGAGGTTAGATATCACTTCTACTCCCATCTAGACAAAACTTGAACAACAGACTGCAAATGTTACTTTCAGGCTGTTTAGGGGTGATTTGAGAGGGAGGTTGGGAATTACATCATTTTACTACAACAGTTAGTAAACTGTGGTTCCCAGGCATTCCAGTGGCTAAATTTGAGACATTTTCTGGCAGTTTGGGACTGGTTCAAGTGGGTGAATAACAAAGGTCTTCCTCCCAGAGTTATCCCCCATTTCCATTCTCATCCTTAACCTCCACATAAAGTGGACCACAACATTTGGCCATGTCCCTTTCTCCAGTGTTCCTACATCTTCAGTCAATCTCCTACGGCATTCTAGACAATCAAAAAGCTGAGTTGTAGGCTTGGAAGTTGACCTCTCTTAATCTAATAGGTTAATCCAGCAAGTAAAAATATTGTATCGCTATAGATATTTGTATAATTGTATTTTACAAAGTACTCTGAATTTCAAATGATGCACAGTTCAAGAAAAGGTGTATTTTCCATTTACAGAAAACTGATGGTTAAAACCTCAGAAATTATTAAATCATAACAGAAGTATTTGGTCCTGAGGAAATAATATGGATTGCATAAAACATGCAAGTTTAACACTAAGAAATATTGATAAACAATTTTGGGAAGAACCCAGGAGGAGGAGCAATTCCTACTCATTGTTTCCACGTTAACATCTATAGCTCATATCATTTTTCCACTACAATAGGAATATGTTGCACTTCAGATCTGAAGCCAAAAATGTGCTTCATAGTGAGTGTGGACACACACAATGCACCTGTCAATGCCTACTTTAAAAAGCTTAATCTTTTTCTAAATTCCACAACAACTTCAGATCCAAAGTACAGCAGATATCTATCCTATAACTATTATTTACCACTTCAAAGAAATCCTCTTTGAGAGAAAAAGCCAAACATGTCTTGAGAATGCCTGACTACATGCTATTGAGTTAGAGAGAGACAGGGACTTCAGGAGGACTGTTACTTACTTTCAAGTTCTTCAGAAGGATGTTGACACTTGTGAGATCTTTCCCCTGGACATCAGATTTTAACTGCTCCTCTATCCCACTAATCCATGCACTAAGGTCAGCATAGCTCTGTGCATAGAGGTCAGAGCGGTTAGCATCAAACAGGTGCTGTGCCTTTTCCTCTGTGGTTGCCTGCAGCATGTCCCAAAGTTGATGTAGATCCTTTAGCTTCTGGAACACAACATCTTCATACTGGGGCTTTTGTTTTGCCAACTGTTGCCCTTCCTGGAGGGGGGAAGAGTACAGAAGAGGAGAAATATATTCTCTTTCTCTTTCATAAAAATATAGGATAAGGAACACATAGCTAGTAGGAAAACAGTGTTCTCTAGCCAGTTAGCAATGCTGTGTTTATAGTGGTTAGGTAACGCAACAATTGCTGATGGTGAAATTGAAGTTGCTGGAATCTGGGACCACAGGGAGGAAGGACCCTGTGGTCCCAGATTCCAGCAACTCTCACTTGACATTCTTAAAGAATATTTCCCATAAGACTGAAGAAGAGACAAAAGAATTGACTCTCCTAGATCACTTCTACCTAATAGGAGAGAGCTGTCTGAAGAGGTAAAACAATGGGAATTTTAGGAGGAAATTACCATGTCATCTTGGGATTCAAGATCCTACAGAAAAATAAAGTGGAGCATACATGCATACTAGATTTCTGGAACACCAAGTTCAACCAGCTTAGAGAAGTATCCTGTCCCATGGACATAAATGTTCAGGTCAGAGGGAATGCAAGAGTGTGGATAAGTTCTTAAAAAAAAAATGAGATACTGAAAGTACAATCTCATACTATTTCAGTCAGAAGAAAAAATAGTCTCATACTATTTCAATCAGAAGAAAAAAATGGGCAGCTTAGGAAATCACTATGGATGCATAGGGAGCTTTCAACTGAACTATGAGTTAAAATGGATATGTATAGGAAATGGAAGATGGGTACTGTCACCACGGGGGAAATCTTATGGGGATCCATGGGCAACAATGACTTTTAGTTTTGATGGCAGTGTGACTGCCTCTGAAGACCTTCTGCTGGGAGACTAGTGGGTTTCCTTGTTGAATTGGTTGGCCACTGTAAGAACAGATTGCTGGACCAGATAAGTGAGAGGTCCGATCCAGCAGGGCACTACTTATATTCTTATTTAAGTATACAGTACCATCAAATACCTAATATTACCAGAAAGAAATGCAGGCTAATGCACAAAAGAGATTTAAGGGAAGCTAAAAGCCACAAAAGAGCTTCTTTAGCTATCTCAGTAGAAAAAGGAAAGGTGGGCCTATGTTAGGAAAGGATAGTATGATGATAATATGTGATGGGGAGATGGCAGATCTTGGTTTGGTATTCTAAAAGGGAAGCATGTTTCAGATGGATGTAAGAAAAACAATTGACAAAAAGAGGGAGTGGCAACCATAAGTTAAGAGATGGTTAGGGAGCACCTGGTTTCCATGAACAAGTTTAAGTCTCCAGGGCCAGATTAATTATATCTGAGAAAAAGAGCTTGCAGATGTCATCTTGGAGCCCCTTTCTGTGATCTTTGAGAAACTGTAGATCGGCATAGTGCCAAAGAATTGAAGAGGGGCAAATGTTCTTATCTTCAAAAAAGGAGAAAAAGTGGATCTGGATAATTACAGGTCACCTATTTTGATACATCAATATTGGGCAAAATTCTATAATGAATTATCAGTCAGTCAGTTTGTGAGTATTTAAAAAAGAATGCATTGCTTGGCAGGATCTCCTTTTTTGGTAGACTGACCAGTTTAGTTGAACAGCAGTGGACATAATGTATCTTGACTTCAGTAAAGTATTTAAAATGGTAAGTATCCCATAAGAGTCCACCAGAGAAGACAGCAAAATGTGGACTGGACCATGCTACTATTAGATAGATACTAGGTGGCTGAACAATTATAACCAGTGAGCGAAACTCAATGGTTTTGCATCAAGCTGAAGGAAAATATCAACGCAGCTATGATGCCACTGAAAAAAAGTAAAATGTAATCTATTACATCAACAGAAGTATAGTGTCAAAATCAAAAGAAGTTGCTGTTCCTCATTTTAGAAAGGACATTGACAAACTGGACAAATCAGGTATTTGTAAGGAAAATCTTACAAGGAACTGCTGGAAACTTTGGATATATTTAGGTGGGGAAGGGAAATCTGCAGTGCTTCCAAGAGCTCTTATGAGACAGGATTTTTCAGAATTGTTACAGAAGACAGGAAAAAAAAAACATTGTGTTTCAATTACAAGGAACTGGATTTAGGTTGGATATCGGGAAAAAAATTCCTAGTGGTAAGAGCTGTTCAACAACGGAAGAGACTGTGCCTCTGCAACCTATTCCACCTTGGTTGCCAAAGAGAACAGAACCTCTCTAGCAACCACATTTTTCTTTTTTCTTTTTAGGCTCAGTAACCTCTGCTACCTTTTAAGGCCTGTCAAGGAAGAAAAAAAAGAGTTAGGCTTTTCTCCTATCCAATAAGCATGGAGCCTTGCTAGAGAAGAGAAAAATCCTGAAAAGTTCAGCAGTGATCTTGTGCCCTCCTTGCTCTTCTTCCTTTCCCCCACCACCTACCCTTACCTCTATGCCTCCCCTGTCTGATGGCTGCAGTCCCACCCTCATGGCCTGATTTTGAAGGTGTGGGAAGAACACCACCAGGAGCAGTGGTTTTTTAAAACGTGGTATACAGGAGGAAGGCACATTGAAACTACAAGTATTTCCACTCATTGGGGAGGAGGGGAGGAGAAAATTGATGTAGCATATTCTGTTGCTAAAACTGTTGTACATCATGTTACTAAATCCATCAAAACATCTCACTTGTGTTATGAGAAGCTGCCCAGTTTTAGGGTAGGGGAAAGAGACAGGTGGCTTAACGCATTCTTCTCAAATGGTTTCCATCTGGGCTGCCTTCCTACTTGGGGGAAATTGGAAAATCCTATTATAAAGCATCTACTGTTTAACTGAACAGTGTAAGGAAGTCTCTACTTCCCCATTGTTCCTGTTTCAAATAGTAATCCCACATCATGTTTTAAGAGGAAACAAAAAACTGGATGATTGTAACATCTAAAGACATATATGCACAAAATTCCTGTAAGCTTTACTTTTGCATGTGCAAAGAAAATGTAAAGTATGAATGTTACAAGTATGTTTTCAAATATATATATTAAAGAAATGTGTAAATATGTAGCAGTGCTTTAGCTTCCCAATTTGCCATTATTTGAAGTCAGTGGTACATATTTCAGTTCTTATATAGTAGTACACTACACAAATGAATTTTTAAGACTACCATGGCATGAAAAAACTTCACAAACATCAATGTAACATTCCACTTGGCTGTAAAATCAACTTGGTGATTTTAAACCCACACTAACGTCCAAGGATTTTTAGACCATTTACCATTCACTGACAATTTTCCACTGTATTTTTAACCAGAGATACTGTAATTGTTTAATGACAGCCATTTTGGCAGAGTTTGTAATTATTATATGTTTTTCTTTGACTCTATTGTATACGGCTCAGCATTTATAGATTGGAGTGGTTTACAAAAACTGAAATATATACATGGTTAAAATAAAAATTAATAAATAAAAGGGCAGCTATATCCAACTCTTTCTCAAAAGTTCTACAAACATAAGGAGCTACAAAAATATTAAGAAGTGGGAGTGGGAAGGAAGACCATACTCATGCAAATCTGGGGGGAAAAAAGCCACACACCTCATCCAGCTTTTCCAGCCACCCTTGGTTGGAAGCAAGTTCTGCCATAAAAGCCTGATGCTTCAGCCATTTACTGTGCAAATTCCGTGCTTCGTCATATGATATGTCTTGAGCAGTAAGCATCTTTTCTTCAATCCAGGTGGTAAGCTATCAATAAAAGCATTACATTTAAAAAGTATGAAAACAGGAGATATTTCAGGTTCCTGTAGCATTTTACTGAAAACACAAATCTGTGATTTCTTACAGATATTCCCAGACACTCTCTTATTGTCCTTTCCAATTTGTTGCTGCTCCTGCTTTTTAAAATAAGTTTTAAATTAAAAAAAAATCTTGGCCAATCACAAATTTTGCTAGAAAGAGAAATGTAGGACCCGGCTTATCTATTCATTTCCTTCCCTTTCTCCAGATCATTTCTGGATTTCATATGAGCCCCAAAGTCTTGTTGGGGGAGGCAGGAATTGGGAAGGGAGGAGAAAAAAGGAAATGGTAGGGCCTGAAAGCTCATTCTTTATTTTCCAGCCACCTTCCCCTTTTTCTTTCATCCAAGTAACAGACAGTATGATTTATTTAAATTAATTAATTTAACCAATGATTAAAAGTATGCTCCGTTCAGAAGAAAGGGCGACTCAGCTAGTATGAGATGAAAACAGAATAAAATCATTTACTGCTGGCATCATCCAAAGCTATAGCCACTCTTGGGGGAAAAACAGGATAAGCATAGACTCAACCTAGATTAGCAGTAGTAGCTATTTCAAAATTCTTACCTCTTGGCAATTTTGTAGAAAATTCTGCAGATCATTATTGTCCTTTAGTAACAAAAATGCCTCTTGTGATTTTGTGACATTTGTCTTGTATCTAGAAATGGGAGAAAATGTTATTGCTAAAGAAAAATGGTTTCCTACTTCCTTCACAATAGTGTCTTGCAATTTCAGATTCAGTTTTCTCACTTATAAACTGTAGGTCTGAATTCACTGAACTCTCATACTGACATTACCTTTCTTGAATCAGCTGAACTTTTTCCATAATTTTATCAGAGTAAATATTTCCATCAGCAGCAAGCTTGCTCCCAGTGTCTATCAAGCCAGTAATCTTTTCTTCATTAGCTTCCATATTAGCGAGGAAATCTTCAAATTTTCGTATAACAGCTTCCGATGCTTCCAAGGTGTCTGGTGGCTCAGTGTGGGCTAGTGTATAGTCCTAAACCAGATGTTATGGAAAAAAAACATGTAAATGAGAATACAACATAGGCAGTTAAAAATACTGATATAATTACTACATGCTTTATACTGCATATAAAGCTGATTTCAGTTCATGCAGTCTCCATATTGAAGTTAATATGATGAGGCAATCATATGCATGGCAGCTGTAGACTTGAAATAGGCTAAGAGTGATTAAATAGTTGGGCATGCCAGCTGCTAAACATAGTTTTTGGTTTTCAGCAGGCATAATCATATTCTGTTTCTGCACTATTTCTCAAGATGTGCAAAAAGAAAAAAAAACTATTACATAGCTAACACAGAATGGGCAGGCAAACCTTCTTGGGCCATTTGACATGCTTAGAGGACATAAAAGTCCATACTATAGGCTCTATACATACATGTACATCAGCCAGTGTGCAAATGTGATCTCCTATTACTGCACAACATGCCACTTACAATGCTCATTAAAATACATTACCTGATTGGTAAGAATAATTTCTGCTTGTTTTGCATCTTTAAGAAACTCCTGGAATCCAAGACACTGATTGAGGAATTTCTCCCTGCTATCCCACATTTTACATAAGGCATTCCAGCCTGTCTCCATGCCCTGTAGCCGCTGTTCCAGTTGCTGATACTCTATATCTTTCTGACCCTGAGTCACTCTATCTCCTATCATCTTAACATTGCTGTAAATGTCCTTGTGTTGATCAATCTCTTCCTTAATTGCAGCATGATGCTGCAGGAGATGCTCAGCTTCTACCAGTGAATTGGGCACCTCTTCTGAAGCAACAGCTTTTTGTGCCTTGAAGAGCCATGCCTGGAAGTCATCTAAGTCTTGCAAAAACTTGTGCAACTTGCTGGCCTCTCCAAGGGAAGCCTCCTGGCTCTGCAAAGTATTTTGGAGGTCCAGCCAGACTCTAGAGACAGCTGTCAGTCGACTGTAGATATCATCAGCTAGGTCAGGCTGCTCTTCAGCAAGCCGATGGGCCTCCTGCTGCAGGACTGCAAGCCTGTCTTGAATGGCTGCTAGGTCACGTTCAATGCCATATAATTTCCTCTGCATGGCAATCATGCCTGCCAGGTTTTTACCAAGGTCTTGTGTAGATTCAATTACTTTGTTTTTTTCCAGAATCCATTTCCTTGTCTCCTCACAATCAACACAATAATTGTGGAGGCTAAGAGCAAAGTCAACAGCTTTTCGCCTTTGAGCCACCATTTCCTGGAAGACCTTCCACCTAGAACACAAAGCAAAATAAGCATTATTGTGATGAAATAAATGCCATTCTTTAACTTCTTCATGTATCTTTTTAAAATATATATATATATATATATATAGTATTATAATTCATACCACCACTTTGGTGACAGGTGGAAGGCTAGAGCAGAAAAAGAATACAAGAGCAAATAACATACTAAACTATCTAGATATTAAGCAGGAGAAGAACCAGAAAGAGTGGAGATAACCTCAGTGGAAGAACTCAGGGTAGTAGCAATGTAATTTTGAACTATATTTATTTATCCCAAAATACGCATAGAGGAAAATATATCACTTCTAACAAAATAAATCTGGTTTCACCACAGGGATACCTATTTTATCTGCTCCCTTTCCTTCTCTTTTCCAGGAATCCATCTTTGGAAGCAATGCATTATATGGGGGAAGGGGAATGGGGAGAGGGAATGGCCATCAATGGATGGTGGATGAACAAATGGCATTCCCTTAGTCTGTCTTGTTTGCCTAGTGCTGTGAAGACAAATTAGAGCCATAGCCAAACCAACTTTTTGTCTTTGTGTATTTATAGCAATACTTGGAAACTGTAGTCAAACAACTGTGGAGAAACAGTTGGAGATAAATAAGAGAAACTATTACCTGGCATTAAGATGCTCTTGGGACTGCCTCACTTTCCCACTGCATGGATGACCACTTTCTATTAGGCCACTCGCAGCTCGGTTGACCCCTTCAATCTGAGAAGCCAAGCTGTTTATTTCCTGCTCCAAAATATCAAACCTGCAAGAAAACACTTTGAATGAATGCCTTTTGAAACCAAACCCACCACATAAAAACTTTGTAAGAAATACCATCTAGAGTCCCAGTTACATGAATCCAACTTGAAGATAGCAATACAGATGGTCCTTGCTTAACGACCACTTGGTCAGCAACCGCTCAAACTTATAATGGTGCTGAACAAGTGGTGCTTATGACCGGTCCTCATACTTATGTTGGTTGCAACGTTCCTATGGTCATTTGCAACCCTATTTGTCAGCTTCCTACAAGCAAAGTCAATGGGGAAGCCAGCAGGTCGTCATAAATGGCGATCATGTGAAGTCCTCACTTAACACCCTGCGGTGATTCGCTTAATGACAGTGCTGGAATTTCTGTTGCTAAGTGGTGCAGTCACATGATGCCATGCTTTACGACCACATCACTTAGTGATGGAAATTCTAGTCCCAATTACTAAGTGAGGACTACCTGTATGTAGTAATGACAATGATGATGATGATGTCTCATGCACAACATCTAGATTGTCTCTAGAAGGAAGAGAATCCAAGCATAGAAGCAGCACCTGAAAAAGGTTTTTTCATGTCCTTGATTGCAAACATATGTCCTGATGTATGTATGTATAATAGGTTTAGAAGCCTGTTTCTGACCAGCTGCTTTGGGCTGGTTCAGGCTCCTTGAATGTTTCTCAGTTCTTCACTGTTATCCTTTAGTTTCATTTTAGATTTCCTATCAAGGAAATCACTTCATTGTTGTCAGTAGTGGGAAACTCTATGCAGATGAAAATTGTGTGTGATTTTTGCTACGTTGGGTATTCTGGCTACCACAGTAAAAAAGAAATGCATACTACTTTCACCTTAGATAATAGTTCATAATTTACTCAATGTGGATTTTATAGTATATAAAGTAGCCCTTAGTAATTACATCAAAGTAATCTGTAAGTGCCCTGAATAAACTGACTTGATCATTCATTCATAAGTAACAAAGTTACTTCTCTCTCAATTTCAGCTGCAATTTGTGTTTGTTTATACATACCAACAATTGCAAGATATGTAAATCTGTTCCTAAAAAGGATTCTTTGATATATCCAATAGCAAATTGTTGCATTGGATCAAGATATGATGGGTTCCACAGCTGAAACTAAGTGTCATCTTAAAAAAGGCTATAATAGTGCTTGGGGATGCGGAATTGACATATAGAGTTTGTGTTTCGCTGCTGCTCACCTTGATTCACAACATGCAAAAATTTGGGGAAAATCTCTTACTTCTACTTAATTATTTTTTTAATTTAGGACTCTTTATATTTTTGTGAAAGAAGATCTGTGCTTATGCTTAAGGAATCAAGTCAGGTATCTTTATTTAAGCTTTGAGTGCTTATGGTACCAATCTCCATAACTCATTTCATGCCTGTTTTTGGCTGGGAACACAGACACTGTTACAGCTTTACACTGCAAAATATTTGTGTCCCAGGTATGTTAAACTGGGCTTACATGCATAGTGATGCTTAAAAGTTTGTGAACCATTTTGAATTTTTAATTATTTCTGCATAAATATGACCTAAAACATGATCTGTTCTCCGCACAAGTCCTAAAACTAGATAAAGGGAATCCAATTAAACAACTAGTATTTTTTACCTATGTTGTACAACATCCAGATCTTCCAAGGTATCAGGAATCTCCATATGCTCCAGCCATTTCTCTTTCTCACTCATCCAAAGCTCACATGCATCAGTCTCACTTAATATAGTATAGAGATCCAAAGCATCCTGTAGCTTCTGCCTGCGCAGATCTGCTAGAGATACCACTTCATTGTACATTGTTTGGATAGCCTTGAGTCTGTTCTCAAATCCTGGAACATCCCGGAATTCAGCAGGGAAGCTCTGTGCTTGCCTATTCAGGTTGTCTATAATTTTCTTATTGTTTGCTACCTCATCCAAAAGATCTCTGTGCTTTTTAACCAAGGCTAGCGTGGAATATTCATCATGTCCCACATCATCACTGGATACCAGCCGATTAGCATCTTGGAGCCAGGCCATCAAGTCATCTGCATCTACCTGGAACTGGAAAAAGCTCTCTGCATCCTGTAAATTCTTCTTGCGGAAAGCTGCCAATTCCTGCAACTGGGCCCAGAGAGCTTTCACTTCCTCAATCCTACTGCAGATTTTTGATGCTCCAAAATGCTTCTCAGCAATCATGTTTTCTCCCTCTTTGATGGTCTGCTTCAGGTGGACCCCTAGGCCACGTAGCTCATCTTCAAAAGCTTTGTGTTTCCTCTGTAGAATGAGGATACTGGTGAGGTCTTTCCCATAGTCCAGGGAAGAATAGATCTGCTCTTTCTCCCTGATCCAACTTTCAGCTTCATCCAGTTCCCAAAAGAACTTCCACTGGCGCTTGGATTGGTCAAGACGGGCTTTCCTGTTTCCCGCTAAAGCAATCAAATCTTGGTAGTATAGTTCCAGGAGGTTTACACGATCACGAATCATTTTGGGATCACATGGCTGATAACCTGCACATGGTGTGTAGGCAAAAATTACAATTAACTATAATATAGAATACATTTTCCTTATTTCAACATGATCTAAATTTTTGGGTACGATTAACATAATATATGGGGATTACCTTCATAACAACTCTGCCATTTTTGTTGATTTTAAAATCAGGGAATTTGTCACTTGCAATTTTGAAGAGCAACAATGCAAACCCACCAAAGAATAACAGAGGAAATACTTCAGAAATGGTGGTGTGCTTGTTTAAAAAGAATGGCAGCTTTTCTGGTAATTGCTACTGAATATAAACATTTAAAGGTACATGAAAAGTCCCAACTTAGAGATATACCAGAGGAGTGTTTAGTCTCTAATAATTAAACAAAACAAATAAAAGCTTTTTCCTTCCTTCCTTCCTTCCTTCCTTCCTTCCTTCCTT